AATGATTTTTTGTGTGATTCTCTACAGTTCCCTAAGTATAATATCATACCATATACAAAGTCATAGTTTTGTTTTCTTACTGCCTATTCCTTCCATTTTTTTTCCTTGTCTTATTGCTATTGCTAGCAATTTTAACACAATATTGAGTGAAAGTGGTGATAATGGTCACACTTGTTTTACTCCTGATCTTATTAGGAAGACTTTAAGTTTATCCCCATTACAGATAATGCTTACTGGTTTTTGAAGGATACTACTTATCATTTTAAGAAAGGTTCCATTGATTTCTATGCTTTCTATGGTTTAATAGGAATGGATATTGCATTTTGTCAAAGGTTTTTTCTGTATATATTGATATAATGATATGATTTTTGTTGTTTTTTGTTATTGATATGGTCAATCATGCTAATAGTTTTCTAATACTGAACCAGCCCTACATTCCTGGAATAAATCCCACCTGGTCATAGTGTATGATCTTGTGATATATTACTGTAATCTTGTTGCTAGTATTTTATTTAAAATTTTTGCATTGATGTTCAGTAAGGAATTAGTCTATAGTTTTCTTTCTCTGTTTTCCCTTTTCCTTGTTTAGGTATCAGTCCCATATTTGTATCACAAAAGGAATTTGGTATGCCTCCTTTACCTGTTTTTTAAAAATAGTTTATATAATATTGGGATTAGTTGTTCCTTAAATATTTGGTAGAATTCATTTGAAAATCAATCTGATCTGGAGGGGATGAGGTTTCCCCTCAGGGAGCTCATTGATGGTTTATTCAATTCATTTTTCTAAGATAGGATTATTTAAGTATTCTATTTCCTCTTCAGTTAATCAGGGCAATTTATATTTTTGTAATTTTCCATTTCACTTAGATTGTCAGTTTTACTGGCATACAATGGTGCAAAATAACTCCTAATAATTGCTTTAATTTCATCTTCATCGGTGGTGTATTCACCCTTTTCATTTTTGATACTGGTAATTTGGTTTTCTTTCTTTGTTTAATCAAATTAACCAAAGGTTTATCTATTTTATTGGGGTTTTTTGTTTATGAAACCAGCTCCTAGTTGTATTTATTAGTTCAATGGTTTTGTTACTTTCAATTTTATTAATCCCTCCTTTGAATTTCATTATTTCCATTTTGGTGTTTAATTAGAGATTTTTAATGCATTCTTTTTCTAGTTTTTTTCAGTTGCATGCCCAATTCATTGGACTGTTCTTTCTCTCTTTCATTGATGTACATGTACAGATATAGATACAGATATAAAATTTCCTATAACTACTGCTTTGGCTGCATCCCATAAATTCTGGAATGTTATCTAATGGTTGTCATTATTTTTAATGAAATTATTGATTGCTTTTATAATTTGTCTTTGACCCACTCATTCTTTAGGAGATTATTTAGTTTCCAACTAAGTTTTAATCTATGCTTCCATGGCCCTTTGTTAAATGTAATTTTATTGCCTTAGGATCTGAAAAGGTTGCATTTAATATTTCTGCTTTTATGCATTTGGTTTCTAGGTGTGTATGCCCTAATACAGGGGTAGGGCATCTGCAGCCTCAAGGCTACATGTGGCTCTCTAGGTCCTCAAGTGCAGCCCTTTGACTGAATCCAAACATTACAGAACAAATCCCTTTAAGAAAAGGATTTGTTCTGTAAAACTTGGACTCATCAAAAGGCCGTGCCCAAGGACCTAGAAGGCCATATGTGGCCTTGAGGCCACAGGCACCCCACCCCTGCCCTAACATATGTTAATTTTCGTGAAGGTGCCATGTACAGCTCAGAAAAAGGTATGCTCCTTTCCATTCCTATACAGTTTTCTCCAGAGTTCTATCATAGCTAACTTTTCCAAGATTCTATTCATCTCTTTGACTTCTTTCTTATTTATTTCATGGCTAGATTCATCTAGCTCTGAGAAGTAAAAGTGAGACCTACCACTAGTATAGTTTTACTATTTTCTCCTGTAATTCACTTAACTTTTTCCTTTAAGAATTAGGATGCTATGCCACTTAGTGCATATATATTTAGGATTGTTATTACTTCATTGTCTATAGTTCCTTTCAGCAAGATTTAGTTTACCTGCTTATCGCTTTTAATTAACTTCATTTTGGCTTTTGCTTTCTTTGAGATCAAGATTGCTACTGTTGTTGTTGTTATTCAGTCATGTCCAATTCTTCATGATCCTATGGTCCATAATGTCTATAGGGTTTTCTTGGCAAAGATACTGCAGTGGTTTGCCATTTCCTTCTCCAATGGATTAAGACAAAGAGACATAGCTAACAAGTATCTGAGGCTGGATTTGAACTCAGGTCTTCCTGACTTCAGGCCCAGGGCTGTATCCACTTAGCCACCTAGCTGCCTCCTAAATGAGAGAGCCAAACAAAATCATCATTGCTAGCTTTGGATCCCATGATACTATAAAGCAAAGGCTGGGCCTTCTGGAGGTGATCTGGTCCAGCCTCAACCCCCAGGCTCTATACAGTCCCCCAACTAAAACTGCCTGGGGAAATACCCTTCCTGGTCTTTCATCGTTCAGTCTTTTTCAGCCAGGTCTGACTCTTCATGACTCCATTTGGGATTTTCTTGGCAAAGATACTAGAGAGGTTTGCCATTTCATTCTCTAGCTCATTTTATAGATGAGAAAACTGAGGTAAACAGGGTTTAAATGATTTGCCCAGAGCCACATAGCTAGTAAGTATCTGAGGCCAGATTTGAACTCAGAAAGAGAAGTCTTCCTGAATCCAGGCCAGGCATTCTATCCACTGTGCCACCTAGCTGCCCCTAACAGTTGCTCCCCTGCTTTTTTTAAATTCAGCTGAAGCATAACAGATTTTGATCCAGCCACTTATTCCAACTTTTTATATGTCTCTCTATTTCAAGTGTGTTTCTTATAAACAACATATGGTTGGATTCTGGTTCTTGGAAGAGATGTGGATATTACTCTCCTGGTCTACACTCTGGTCCTTACCCAAGAAAGACCCCTGATTTCTTGGATTTCAAGCAATAATGCTCTTCGGGGTTTCTAATCCCTTGGGACTGGAAGTGATGCTGTCCGTCAGGATTTCCATTCTCCCCTTCCTTCCCTTGAGCTATGACCCAGAAGACAGTATAGGCAATAGAGTTGCCAACCAGTGTCTAGTCCTGTATCCAATGCTAGGACAAGTGTCCTCTATAGTCTCTCTGACCAAGTCCCCTTACTCTCTCTAGCTTGAGAGCTCCCTAAGCTGCTGCTGCTGCTTCTGTCACCACCACCTTGTCCCACCACTGGTATTTCTTCCACATGGGCGCTGGGCCAACCTCCACCCCCATATCACTGATTTATCTTTCTGAACTCCTAAGTTGTCCTAGGCTAAAAAAAATGTCTCACTCCGACCTTTATTGGTTCTGCAACTCCAGAATTTGATTTGAGGTGTTATTTTAAAGTTATTTTAATGTTGGGAGGGCTCAGCTGAGCGCTGTCTCTACTCTGCCATCTTGGCTTCACTCCTGGAAATCTACACCTCATCAACACTTTTCAAGGAGAAAACTATTTTTAGTCTAAAGATCAAATCTCTTTGACACATAGAGACAAAATTAAAATTGGGCAGGTCTGCCTTCTCTCTTGTCAGTTATCATTATCCCATCTACCCTTCCCCCTCAAAAAGCCGTCTCATCTGCTCTTTGATATTATTCTCCAAAATATAGCTTCAAAAACCCTTTTTGAAAAGCCTTAGTTAGCTTTGCTCAATCATCAGACTGAGCTCATTCTAAGCTTTAGCCCTCCTGATCCTATTCTGATGATTGTGCCTTCATTTTTATTCATTCTTTAATACCCTTACTCTTTCTCTACAAATCTTTTAAAAACCTGAGTTGGTTAAGTTCCCTGTGCATTCACCCTGTTTTATTAAAATGCTTTCCTTTTTTCTTCTTGATGGGAAATGTTTCTCTTTGTGTCATCAGAACCTCATTGAGAACTCATCACTCCTGCAAATTTTCACCCACGGGAACATACCTGTCATTCCTCTGAATCTTTCAAAATCAGCTCTTACAAAATAAAGGGTGCCTGATAGATTATCCACTCATTCTCTATCACAAATTCTAAGATAGAGTGGTCTGTCCCTGAAAGTCCCCACAATTTCCACAACAGCAACCAGTTCTTTTATGTTGGTGAGAAAGATCCATAAGAGAATTTCCTCTTGTTGGTTCTTCAAGTTACTGCAGGATGGAATTACAGTTTCATTAAACCTGCTCTCATTTAATCAATGAGAGAGAGATTCAGCAGATGTCTAGGTAACTGAAATGCTTCATCAAAAGTATTTCATGCCTCTGTAGCTCTCCTGTGGTTTATTTTCCCAAGTTCTTCACCTATTTCTTTTCCTATGTGGTACATAGTACTACAATAACAATATAATCTGTTTCTGCCTCTATTGATCTTCACCCAAATGTTCTTCCCACCATGTATGCCCATTTGCATTCTTCTATTATATCATCTGAGTATGCCTTTCTGATATACAGTGCTACCCTACATTTTCTCTTTTTCTTTTGAAGAAACTATACCCTTCCAAAGTTGTATTCTAGTCATGGTTCTCATCCCATTAACTCTCAGTGATACTTAAAAAGTTTAAAAAAAAAAACTTTCTTGATTTAGGATCTCTAGTTCATCTTGTTTGTTACCCATACTTAGGAATTTATTTTTGGACACTTGAGGCCATGGATTTTATTATTGATTCCTGTCTTGGATCTTATTTCCTATGAACTTCTGGGCACCTCTACTGCTATTCATCTAACTACAATAATTATACTCTATGGTTTCTAGCTTTGTTGATATACATAGACAGCTTTCTCTCTTTCTTCACCAACATTTTTCAAGGAGAAAACTATAAAACAGAAGAGGCAGGATTTGATATTTGATCCTCTGAGTCCAAGTCCAAGCTCAGGGCTCTTTCCACTCTGATTTTAACCCTCTCCTTCTGCATTACCTCTTAACACAGGGATGTACTAACTGACTGTCCTGGGTTTTCTCCTTAGGTTAGCCTAGTAGGTGCAAATGGATACCTCCTGGCAATTGGAGGCTTTGATGGAGTGGTACACTTGGCAACAGTGGAAGCTTTTGACTTTGAAGTCAATCAATGGAGGTAAGTCAAGTCAAGCTTGTGAGATAGATCATTTCCAAGCTTCACTGCCCATATACTTAGAAACCAAGTAAGGCAAGTTCCAGATTTTGAATATTGGCAAGAATTTAGGAAACTCTGTATTTCTTTCCTTAGCTAACAATAGTGAATCACTAGGACTTCTATCATCCTTTCTATACTACTAATCTAAAAACTCTTCAAGAAATCCTAAAGACCCAGTTTAAAAACAAGTTTGTGATTTACAGCAGCTTATTCCTCATTGAGCTGAGGAGATTGTAGTGGGGATCAGATGATCAGCTGTCACTCCTACATCCCACCCAGAAAATTGAGTGGTATGAAAACAATACAAACGCATTGCAATGATTTTGTTACAGCATTGTCCATATGTGTCTATTTCCATATAGCTTAGCCTACATCTCCACATAGACTCATCCATTCTGTCTAAATCAAATGAGAGAACAAATGATCAAATGAAATATTATTTGTAAAGAGCTTATCACAGTACCTAGCACATAGTAGGTGCTATGTAAATGCTTATTCCCTTCCCCTTACCTGAATGTAGAGAGGGAGTTAAGGGCCATTTGAACAAAATGAAATGGCACATACTTCCCTCTGAAAAATATCACTTACACATGTAAGTATTAAGTCACCTGGACTTGGTAAAAAGCAACCAACCACAAAATAAAACTTTTTTAAAAAGTTCTAGTCTTTGTGAAGTTCATAGTTATCATAAATTTAGAGTTGGAAGGGGCCTCAAAAAGTCATTTAGTCTAACTTCCTTATTTAAAAGATTAGGGATGTGAAGTGACTTGCCCAAGCTCACACATGTAGTGAGCAACAAAAACAGGATTTTCACTCCAGTTCTCCGACTAAATCCATGGCTTTAAATTGACTCCACTGGGCCAAAGCCATGGGTCTTATCCCCATGGAAATCAGTTAGCTTCACTCTTCTATTGACACAGGTTAACACTGAGCAGAGACTGAGTGTAAACCCCAGCCAGAGAGTGAAACCCAACCCTGCCAGACTCTCACAGATATAGATGAATGAAGTATTTATTAAGCACTTACGGGGCTGGCAAAGCCCTGTGCTAAGGGAATGCACTTTATTGTGGGAAGGACCAGATGAAACAGAGTGGATGTGCTACCTCCCAATGACAACAAGGCAAGAAAGTCCCATTTGTTTGAGAAAGATGCCACAGTAATATAGGCCAAGGTTTCTTAACATGGGGTCCAAGAACTTTTTGTAAAAAAAATTTTCAAAACTGTATTTCAATGTAATTGGTTTCTGTGGTAACCCTATATGTTTTGTTTTATTCATTTAAAAGTAGTATTCTGAGAAGTAGTTCAAAGGTTTCACCAGATGTCCAAAAGGAACCGTAACACAAAAAAGAACCTCTTATATAAACCAACTATGTACCCTGAGTGCAATCTCATCACACGAGCCATCACTAGGAATTCTGGTGCCCAGAGCAAGAAACACAAAACAATGCCCTCAATTCATTATGGGGTGCCAAAGACCCTAGGGACTATTGCTGCAGAAACTACAGGGAATGAAGGGTGGGAGAAGACAGGTAGAGCTTTGGAGGGATGAAAAATCTGCTTCCTGTTTTAATTAATAATTCTTGCTAACTAGATACTAAGATCAATTGTTTCTATGTTGCAGAATAAACAGAAGTACTGTCAAGTATGCTCTAAATCTTAGTACCTTTTGGAAAAATTCACCCTGCCCAAGTTACATACCTGTTCACTGATCATGTGAGCAAGACAGGGAGTAGCACGAAATGAGAGACATGTAGTTCTGAACAAGGCCTGTTTCTATGTTCCAGAGTATTTGGCAACATGAAGAATCGTCGTCCAGGAGGAGGTGTAGGTGTCCTGAAGATGACTATTTAGAACAGCCAACACCCAAGCTGTTTGGAATGAAGAAAAGAAGGAATAAAATAAACCTTTTCAGAAGCCTCACCCACCCACAGCAGAACTATGGAGAGAGGATTCAGGGAAGATTTTGGGTTCCCTATGTCCAGGTCTGTGAATACAGAGAAAATTATATACAGGACACTCTAACAGCATTGACTTAACCACGTGACCTCTTCTCAGGTCACTATTGGGAAAGTCTAGTCATATTATATTCAGTATCAGCCCTGGCCATGAAGGGGACCCAGGTCAGAAAGGATAGGTGTTCCCCCCAAAAAACAACCTCTCAATAATACTTGTTGCTATCCAGCTATCTCTCCATTGTCTGCATGCAAAATCATAGAATTCAGAGGTGGATGGGACTTAGAGATTACCTAATCTAATGATGACCAACCTCTGGGACCCCTGTAGACTCCTTTGGACCTATGTAGACTACTTTTGAAGATTGAGAAACCATAGGATTATTTGAAAAGGGTTTATCTCATTAAATGATTCAGCATAATATATAAGCAAACACACCTTTCTAGATGAAATGTCTCAAACACATAAATACTATTTTCAAAATTACATGCAGCTGTAATTAATAAACACAAATTTATAAAAGTGTAATGAAATTCATAGCAGCTTTTTGTCTCTGATTTTTTTTTCAATCAATGGATAATAACACTATACCTATTATCTTGTGGGGAATCTATAAAATTATTTGAAAGCTGTAAGAGAAAGGTAGCAAGTTCACCTTTCCTGATCACAATTTAAAATATGATGTTTGCCTGTTATTGTCTGGCAATTATCTGTAGTATTGACTTAACTATGCCTCTGCTCTTTTCCATTAGCACAAAGTATCAGGAGTTCACTAACTATGGCTGGGATCAAAATGGATGCCTTAGAGTACCATACCAGCCACAGTTCCTGGGGTCTTGGTCCAGTATATAGAAAATGGCCTTTACCCAAGGACCTCTCATACTTGTATGGTCACCAATAGAATTCAATGTTCATTATGCATCTCCTCCACACAAAGCACTGCACTAGTTTATTGTTAGGGATAAAAACTAAGGTAGTGCCTGTCTCCAATGAGCTTATATTCTACTAATGAGAAAACAAATGTATACAGATAAGTATAAAGTGGCTTATGGTGAAGACAAAGGAGAGATTAAAAATACAGTAGGAATTTGTTGGGGGGGGGCATGGATTAGGGAGAGAGGCTTCATAAGAGAGGGAGCATCTGAGCTGAACATTGGAGGGTTGTAAAAGCTAAAGAGGAAGAAGGATCAATCATAGGATCACAGATTTATATTTGGAAAAAGACCTTAGAGACCATTTTACAGCAAGCAACTGATGCTCAGAGAAGTTGGGACTTTTCCAGGGTCACACAAGTGCTTCCAGTGGGATTTAAATTCAGATCTTATTGCTTCATCATGCTGCCAAAGAGGGAAGCAGGCAATTTGGCAGTCAATTGATAGAGTGCTTAACCTGGATTCTGGAAGACTTGAATTCAAATCCAGCTTCGGATACTTACTAGCTCTGTGAGTCCAGAAAAGTCACTTAACCTCTCTCTGAGTGGGCATTTTACCCCACAAACACTAAGTAGCCATAGAAAAATGTTTGAGGTTGAGCTATATGGTCAGACCAATGGCAGGAAGTTGGCCACTTCCTCAGGTTATGCCACAGAACTTCAGAGTTGATAGGATGTAAGACGCCATCTGATCCAACCCACATCTGAAGAAGGCTCTCTCATGCAACCTACCCAATTAAAATCTAGCCAAGCCAAGGCTGGATAAAAAGAAATAAAAGTGAAGAGCAACCCACTACTTCCCAATGCATCTCCCTACACCTGTGGATGGTCTAATGGATAGGAAGCTTCTGTTTGCACCAAGCCTAAATTTGCCTCTTGGCAGTTTATGATCACAGTTGCAAAGCTACAAGGGATCATGGAGGTCATTTAGTTTGACCTCCCTATTTTAAGTGTGACGGAACTGAGGACCAGAAAGATTAAGTGATTTGTTCAAGGTCACATGGGAAAGGAGCAAAGCCAAGATCCAAATAAGAGTCCCCTAACTCCAAATCTAGTGCTCTCTCCACCAAACCATGCTGCCTCCACCCATTTCTAGTGCTGCCTTTAGAGACAAGCAGCAAACAAATGCTTCTTTCATTTCACAATAGTTCAAATAATTAAAGAAAAGCTTTCATAACTCACTCCTCCTCCCCAGGTCTTCTCTTTTCCAGGTTAAACATTCCTAGTTCTTCAGACCATCTGCATATGGCATGATTTCAGGTCCTTCACAATTCTGAGTGCCTTCTAGTTTATAAATGTCCTTCATAAAACATGGCACCAAAGTAGAGCACCATGGGCATCAGTGTTATTTTTCACCAAGGGGTGTATCCAGAGAACTTTGCCATATTTTAAGGAAAACATTTATTGAATATCTAATCAAAAAGGACATCAGTTTTATTCATCAGATGAACTAAAGAAACTAAAACTTGAGAGAATATTTCTAAATTAACAAAAAAGTTTTACATTAAAAGTACTTTGTAAAGTTTTCCTTTTAATAGGATGCTTCCACTTATCCTAGCATACATAAAGTTCCTTTCAGTCTTATCTTGGCTGGAAAAGTATCTTTCCAACTTAGACTTTGCTGCCTGAGCCTAGCATTTTGCTTGGTAGAGTTTAAAACTGGTGATCAGAAGAACATCTTTTAAAATCTAAAAAGTATTGCTTTCTTTGCCCATATCAACCAGAATCTCAGGACCACATACAATAACTTGACACACAAATAGAAAAGTGGCCAGAGGAATCAAAATGAGGTGATCGTTGATTTTTCTCAGCCCTGACTATGACCAACCTGAGGCCCCAGGCAGCAGTAGGGGCCTGATGGGGAAGGAAGGAGTTGGAAAGACTGCCATGACTCCAATAGGTCCAAAGATTCACCAAACAGAAGCCCCACATGAGCAGGCTAAGCAGCACTTCAGAGAGAGACTGGAAGAGGGGAATGGAGGGGCCTGGGTTGAAAGACAACTGTAGCAGTAGAGCGGCTATCTTCCTCCAATACAAGAGCCTCCAAGAGGTTATGTCTGAGAGAAAGTGGGAAGGCTGTTCCTCTCCAGATCCTGGAGAGCCTCACCCAAAATGAATGCTGCTGCCACGTGAAGGCACACCTGAACACACTTGGCACATCTAGTATGCATGCCTATACAGAAATAATTCTCCAGATGTGGTCTGACCAGGGCAACATATAATAGAACTATCACATCCCTAGCTGTGCCTCTTTTACTGCATTCTAAGGTCATAAATGATTTGGGGGGGGGCTAATATGTCACATGGATATTAGTCTTGTAGTATACTAAATCTCCACATCTTTCTTCCAAATTGCTATCTGAAAATGTCTAGACATGGCTCCCCCATCCTATACTTATGAAGTTTATTTTCTAAACCCAAGAATAAGAGTTTATATTTATCTCTACTGATTTTCAACTTACTAGATTTTGCCCAATGCACTAGCTTGTTATGAACGTTTTTGATCCTGAATTGCACCCTGCAGCATGTTAGCTACCTCTGAAAATTTTGTCTTCATCCAAGTAACAGATAGTAACATTATATACCACAGGGCAACATGCATTCACCCCACTCAAAACAACCTTCCAAGTTGGATTTAGACATTAATGATTACTTCTTGGGTAAGTAAGTACTTCATCCAAATCCATCTAACTGGATTATCTTCCAGCCCCTAACTCTCCCTTTTCATCAAATACTTAGCTATAATCTAGCTAACTATATCTATAACATTCCCTAATTTACCAGCTTATTAACTTTGTCAAAAAAAAAAAAGCCAATATTTGTAGAGGGCTTGCACTGATGGGTCTAAGGATTTAGGCGAGGCTGGGTTTTACCTGCAGCCTGTTCTTAGTCCAAGGGCCACCTAAGTCAGAACATAGGCTTTCCAAACCCTCCCTTGCTTTGCCTTTCCCTTTAGAACAGAAGGACCTTGAAAATAACCGGGAAGTGAGGAGACGTTTCAGGGGGGACTCCCCTAGTTACTATTCCCATGAGAAAAAATTATCATTGATACTTTGCCTTTTCCCACTCTGGGTTCTGTTCCCATGAATGGGGTATAAAAACCCTAATCCTTGGATCAAGAAACAGAGTTTGTTCTGAACTTGCTACCCAGCTGGCCCGCATATCTTTCTCTTTTTATCATACTCGACTAGCAGTTAATCACAGTCATAGACACAGGCGTCCGTGACAAACATTACTCTGGGATTATCTGCTTCTGATGAAGGCATACTGTGATCACCACATCTCTTCACTAACCACCCTTTTAATAGCACAGTCAATTAAGTCAGTCCACTAGCATTGTTAAGCATCTTCTATGTGTCATCACTGTGCTAAGCACTTAGGGGTACAGAAAGAGGCAAAAAACAGTCCCTATTCTCAAGGAACTCACAGTCTAATGAGTTAAACAACATGAGAACAATTACATTCAAACAAGATATATACAGGACAGATTGGAAATAATCAAGTGAGTAGGTACTAAGATTAAAAAGGACTTCCAGCAGAAAATGGGACTTTAGCTGACACATGGAAGGCAGAGAAGCTAGGAGTTAGAGATGAGGAGGGATAGCATTCCAGGCATGGGAGACATCCAGTGAAAATGCTCAGAGTTGGAAGATGGAGTGTTGTGATTGAGAAACAAAGAGGCCAGTGTTAATGGTTCACAGAGTATGTGGAATAAGGTATAGGAAGACTATAAAGGTAGAAGGGGGCTAGATAAGTAGGGCTTAAAATTAAAGACTTTACATTTGATCTTGGAGCTAATAGGGAGCCACTGGAGTTTACTGAGTAATGGAGTGATGTGGTCAGATCTCCATTTTTTTTTATTTATTTATTTGTTTTGGTGAGGCAATTGGGGTTAAGTGACTTGCCCAGGGTCACATAGCTAGTGAGTATTATGTGTCTGAGGCTGGAGTTGAACTCAGGTCCTCCTGACATCAGGGCTGGTGCTCTACCCACTGCGCCACCTAGCTGCCCCCAGATCTCCACTTTAGGATGATCAGTTTGACATCTGAGTGGAGATGGGACTTGAGTTACAGAGAGTTACTTAATTCAGGGAGGCCAATAAACAGGCTATTACTATGGTCTAGGCACATACTCATAATACAAGCTCTGAACCCTTTTATATTCCATCTCTAGCACTCTCTTTTCCAGTGCAAAAATTACAGACAACTCAGAATCTGCCATCTGGATTAAATACTAGATCTAATGGGGATATACCACTATGGCTCCCAATACCATGACTGCTCCAGGACTCAGACTCCCATAGACTAAAGGAAAACAGTTCCTTTTCACTTCAAGAATCAACACTGAGCCAAGCCACAAAGGCCTCAGCACTTGTGCTAAGCCTCACTCCAAACTAATGCTCACTCTCTAGCTGGGCTCTTTTTCCAACTGCAGTCCTTATTTCACTATTCCCAGAGACTAGTTACTATCACCACCACCTAGTACAGAGCGTACATCTCAAGTTGCGTTAAATAAGCCCGGAGCATAAAAAAATAGTTGCAAGTACCTGTGTGCCCATGCAGCCTTAGGGGCACAGCTATTTCATCAATGCTGGAATTCTCAGACTTACTCACAATTATCTTCTCTTCTTCCAATTACAGGTAGCTATAGTCAGCTGGTAAGGGGTGCACAAGTCCCAAGGAAATTGGGTCTTTACTAGCCACAAGAACTCTTTGGTTTCCTTTGTAATCTATATATTTTACTTTATGTATTTAATAACATTATTCTAAGGAGTCCATAGGCTTCACAGATCACCAAAGGGGTCCATGGTACAAAACCATTTTACATCTAAAGTACTAAAGAGTTCTGCAACTTTTTTCTTATTTATATTAATCCACCACTGCCACCATTAACCCTGCTTCTCTATCACAAGAAATGAGGCAAGTAACATCTTTGTGTGACATCTCCCCAGATCTACTCAACTTCATATAACTGTCTTCAGTCTTGACCTTGACTGTCCTTTATAAAGTTTCTTTACTGGTTCCTTAGAGCTCTAAGAGACTGGTTTAGTCATGTTGGGAATGCTATCGTATCAGGCATTAGATTAGCTGACCCTTGATAACCCTTTTATCCATGCTGCTGTACAATTATCTAAGTTTAGATACCTCTTTGAAAAGATAGACTAAAAATCACTCTGGAAGCTCTTGGCCCAGTGGTATAATGGAATGACCCAAAGCCCATACTGCTCAAACCAAAAGGCAAAGCAGGATTAAGACCAGGTCCAAAAAAGCAACTCTGTGTTTATCACAGAAGAGTGACATAAGATTCAGGAATGAGAAAGCAGAAGAATTAGGGTCAAGGACCAAGCATCAGGCAGAACCAGACAGACTAGGGTCACAGACATCTCTTGGTTTTCTGCCTGATCATACATGCATCCCAACAAAGCTTCAAGACTCAGGCTATCCAGACAGCCAGGACGCCCTGCAGCTGTGATACATAGTACAATTGGGCCAGAGCTGGGCCCATTCACCAGCACAACCAGGATGACTCAAAGCAGGAAGCAGACGCAGGGGCCAAGCAGACCCAGACAGGTGGCAACATATCCCATTTACCCCTGCAATACAGAAGACTGGTAGATGAATCCATGATGGTAAACTGTCATGATGGCATACCAAGTCAATCTAGAGTGAGCTGGGATTTGAAATATGGGTTAGTTCTGCTATGAACTAGCAGACCTTTGAAAGTCTGACCTTTTGAACTCCATTTAATTTTTCTAAGAATCAGTTTTTCTCCAGCAAGACGTCCCTGCCCTCGATACCTCACAGAAATACTGAGCAAAAAAAATTAGACCACCATCAGAAAAGATTTTCAATGTGCATGAGTTATTTTTTATTATTCTTACTCTCTCTGGGCCAAAAACCCAACAAAATAGTACAAAGAGAACAACTGACCCTCCCCCAGAGAATCAAGAGTCAGAGTTATTTGTAGATTTGATGGTGAAAAGGCCTTCACAGAAACAAAATGATAGGATCAGATGACTTTCATCTAACTCCATCAGAACTGCCTGATTAAGCTTCCACTCTGATCCGCTTACTGAATTCTATCAATTATGCTAAAGTTACAAAAGTTTTGCTTCCTCCAAGAAAATTGCTTCTTCTCTTCAATATTCAGTCTTCACTTAGCATGGCCTTCCCCTCCCTCTCTCAAATTAGGCTGCAGCTGCAACCCAAACCCAAAATAAAGTGCCCAGATGTATATTGGTTTCTGTGCTGCTTCAAAATCTCTATTTTCTGTCCCCTTTCACCTTCAACCTACTTAGCAGTGATTTCCTTCAAGGCTCAGAAATTTCATAACTCATAGGGAAAGAGATAAGGAAATATACTGTCCACTTCTTCCTGAGGAGTTAGGGCCATAGAGGTTGAATCAAATTCCAAATGGTCCAGGAGGCTCCTCTGAGACTCTGGGAGGCAGAGCTCAGGTTCAGGCAAGAACTCCAGGTCTGATTTGGAGAAAAGCCCATCTTGGGAACCAGTCTTGGCATCCATCCTGGAACAGGTTTGGGTTTCACCACCTTTGGCATCCTCGGGTCCTGGATCAACTGAGAGCAGGTATTAGTAGATCATAAAAAGAAATATTTTCCAAATCAAAACCCCAACTCCGGGGAGACAGTGTAGTGTAAAGGAAAGAACAGTGAATTAGGAGGACTGGGTTCTAGACCTAGCTCTTGTACAAGTTTTCTGGGTGATGGTAGCAAAGCCACTTGGCTCAAAGTCCTCCACACCTAACCCCTGCACCATCACTTTGTTCCCCATGCTCATAACGTGCATCCTCCTTGCATACACCCCCTACAGCGCTTAGCTTTATCCAAGGCTCAGCTCATGGGCATAAGTTTTCTCATCCATAAAATGGGGATAACAGCACCTACTTCAAAAGGTTGTCATGAGGATCAAATGAGATGGCATAAGCAAAGTGCTTTCCAAATATTACCGCATTATACAAATGCTGGCTATTATTTCCTGATTTCAAGTTGTTAGTCTCATCACTTTCTCCTCAGGTGATTGTTCATATACTTAACTATTTACAAGTCATACATAGGCTCCTTAACATGTGTGTGTGCGCGTTCAGTTGTTCCAGTCACGTCTGACTCTTCATGACCCCACTGGGGGTTTTCTTGGCAAAGATACTGGAGTGGTTTACCATTTCCTTCTCCAGCTCATTTTACAGGTGAGGAAACTGAGGCAGACAGGGTTAAGTGACTTGCCCAGGGTCCCATAGCTAGTAAGTGTCCGAGACCAGATTTTAACTTGGGAACATGAGTCTTTCTGATTCTAAGCCCAGTGCTCTATTCACTGCAAGACCCAGCTGCCCTCCTCAAGGATAGGAACTGTGTTTTGGTCTTTGCATTGCTAGTGCAGAGAGGCAGCATTACATAGTGAATAGAAAGAGCTCGCCTCAAAGCCAGAAAGACCCTGGTTCAAATCCCACTTTATAACCCTGGGGTCGACTCAACCTTTCAATGGTATCGGCTAAAGATGTTAAACATACATCCTGAAACATTCCCAAGTTCTGATTGCTTCTCAATTAAAATGCAACTGGGAAACTTTTAACAAAATTAGTTAAAATACAACAGAACACATATAATGTTCATATGTGGGGTTTTTTAAGTCAACATGTGACAGCAAGTATCTTGATTATGGTTTATTGGCTCTGCTTCTAATTAAGTTGTTACTACTGCTCTAGGCTACTCACAAGACTATAAATTGCAGGGGCCTCAATCTGTATTGGTAGATGGAATTTCCTCATCTGGGAGATCCCTATATCAATAGAATTACAGGACCAGACCCTCTCTCCCCACTACCCCCACCCCCCAAGTAAACAGCACACTGCTTTGAACGCAACGGATTCTTAATGTTTCTTAGACTAGATGCATGAGAATGTCAAAAGATCTGTGTTTTTGTCAGTATGAATACTCCCTCCACTGATGAAGATCTCTCACCCTCCCTGCCTTGTTTTTCATGAGTTGCTCTAACCTAAGAAAACTCATCACCTGGTGGCCAAGGTCCATGTGAAAGGCCACGTTGCACAGAGCAAGACTGGTCTTCAGATGAAACACCAGATGCCAACACCCTCTCTAAGTCTGTCTAGTTTAATAAGAGCTTGTGTTCTAGTGCCCTAGTGTTCAAAACCCCAAGTCACCTCCACACCCTGAGAACTTCACGGGCATACACATGGCAAGCATAACAGATTTATTCCGTGAATATTCACAAGGGTCTTTATTATCCATTACTTGTATTTTACAGACAAGAAGACTCTCAGAAAGAGAATGGTTTTTCCAAAGAGCATAGCTAGCCACAGCTAGAATTCAAACCTGATTTTGTCTCTGGAATTACACTCACTCCACACAAACATACTTACACACACATACTCCCTTCCATCTAAGCCTCAGGGCCCATCTATGATGTGGAGCAACTAGGGGTGAAAGCCTAGCTCTCCCTGCACAAAAAGCTCAAATTCTCCTTCCTTTCCCAGTATACTATGGAGTATCCTAGCCTAGCAACCCTCAGGGATGCCTCACCTTGCTCTCCAAGCCATCGGTCAGTGTGAGCACCCAGCAGAAAAGGCATCTCATCTTCTACTTCAGATTCTGACATTGACCTAAAATTAAAAGCAAAAAGAATTCATTTGTGAATTTTCATTCAATAACAACACAGGCACCTTTAGTCTGTCCTTCTTAGAAGGGAATTAAATTTTCCAGCCAAAAGAAATGAAGGAGGAAGGAGGAGTAGTTCAGCTCAGAAGGCAGAATATTACTTGCAAAAAAAGGAGGAAAAAAAAAAACAAGAAAGAAATAATACAATAATAGTTCTCTATTATTTGAATATTACATCCATTTTCTGAATTATCCACGGATTTTTTTTTTAAATCCTTGGCTGACTTCTCATCATCCAAAACATTCCCCCCACAGCCCTTCCCACGTCCCAGCTGCTGTGCGCTCAGGAAATGCAAACTAATTTTTATATCAGGCAAAGCAAAAAGATAATTAGCAAAGGAAAACTGTTAAAAAAAAAATCCATCCATGGAAAAACCAAACTTTACTATTTACTATTTTAGATTACCAGTACTCTGTTCCCACCCTTTGTATGCATACTATAGTTTTTTATTCTCTGCACTGTGCCCAAGCAAAACTTGTCGAAGTCCCGGGGTGATCAGGGAATGGGATTGAGGGTAATGAGGGATTCGTACCTGGTATCCACAGGGGATATCATCAGGACATCAGAAGGCTCATGTGTATTTCTCAGTAGCTGTGCTTGAGACATGACTTCCCCTGGACAGAGGCCTACCACACTTGGCCATCTCCCCACTGCTGAGGTCTCTAGAGGAACGGCTGGCCAAGGCAGAGAAGGGCTCCTTCCACAGGAGCACACAGGAGTATCAGAAAGACTCAGGTTTTGAGGCAGCAGGGCTGAATCTGAAAGCCCTTTCCAAAAAAAGAATCACAGTCAGTACCACATAAGCAAATAGCCCCAACTCTCTGGACGCCCCTGCCAGCCAGACACCGGCTTTCTGCTGAACTCAGGCCCCAGGATACTTCTTATAGCTTTAAGGTTTACAAAATGTTTCCTCCATCCCCCACCACTGAGACTCAGAGAATTTAAGAGACTTGCCCAAGGTCACAAAGCAAAAAAGTGTCAACCCCAGCATGATTCCCAACCCTGAGCAATTAAAGCCCTATACTCAGCAGCTGGGAGAGAACAAAGAAGGAAAGAGGGAAAAAGAGCCTCAGTCAGTACCTACAAGAAGCCTTCAATTGAGCCTGAGGACATAAAACACATACATAGTAAAACAGGTAGGGGAGGATTAACAGAAAGCTCACTGGACTTGGAGTTAGATTTGAGTTTGAATACAGATTCTTCATATTGCCTGGGTGACCTGGGCAACTCACTTCATTCTGTCTGGGCCTCCACTAGATGGTCTCTAAGATCCCTGGAGATTCTAGAAACCCTTGGATTCTAGGACTTGAAGGGGGGAGGTTGTGAAGAACAAGAAGGCAAACAGAATTTATATCTGATCCTTGAGGCTTTAGGGAGCTACTAGAATTTATTGACTGGTGGGGGGAGGATGACTTGGTCAGATCTGCTATTTAGGAAGATCAATTTGACAGCCAAGTGGAGGATGGTCCAAAGTAGGAAAAGACTTGAGGTAGGAAAACCAACCAGAAGGCCATTGCTATAATCTAGTAATGAGGTGATAGGACCTTCACCAGGATGGTGGCAGTGTCAGAGGAAGAAGGGAGCAAATATACTTCTTGTTGTTCATTCATTTCAGTCATACCCAACTCTTTGTAACTGAATTTGGGATTTTCTTGGCAAAAATACTGGAGTGGATTGCCATTTCTTTCTCCAGTTCACTTTATAGATGATGAGGCAAACAGGGTTAAATGACTTGCCCAGGATCACATAGCTAATAAGTGTCCCAGGCCAGATCCGAACTCAGGAAGATGAGTCTTCCTGACTCTAGGCCTGGCACTGTCTCCACTGTACCTCCTACCTGCCCCTGCAAATATATCATGAATGTAAAATTAACAGGGCTTGGCAACAGATTGGCTATTGGGGGAGAATAGGGATTTGAGAAGTTGAGGATGACACCTACACTATATGACCAGGTGACTTGGTAGATAGGGGAAGAGACTTTAGAAAAGAAAGATACTGAGTACACTTTTGGACAGGTTGAATTTAATGTCTGTGGGACATCCAGTTCCAGATGTCCAATAGGCAGATGGAGATGTGAGACTAGTCATCAGGGAAAAAGTTAAGGCTGGGAAAAACATATCTGAGAATCATCAGCAAAGAGGTGATGATAATGGAAGCCATGGGAGTTGATAAGATCACCAAGTAAAATATTATAAAGGGAGAAGATAAGATAGGCCAGGACAGACCTGGGGAACAACCAACTGGATGAAGATCCAGCAAAAGAGACTAAGAAGGAACAGTCAGGTGGGAGAGGAACCAGGAGAGAATAGTGCCATAGAAACCTAGAGACCAAGGGATATCAAGGAAAAGAGGATGTTCAACAACATTGTCAAAGACTGGAGAGAGGTCATGAAAGAGGAGGATTGAAAAAAGGCCATTGTTTGGCCCTTAAGAGATCATCATCATTAACTTTGGAAAGAGCACTTTTGGTTGAATGATGAAGCTGTAAGCTAGAACGGTAGAGTTAAAAAGAGAGTGTGAGGAAAGGAAGGAGAGGCATCAATTATAAATGGCCTTCTGAAAGAGTTTAGCCACAAAATGGAGAAGAGATATGGAACAGACAGCTCAGATCAAGTGATAGTTTTTGAGAATGGGGAGACATGGGCATGTTTGTAGGCTGTGGGAAAGAAAGAAGTAGACAAGAAAAGACTGAAGTAAGAGAATGAGGATGAAGGAGGAAGCAGTCTGCTGGAGAAGACACTCCAATCTAATAATCCAATAAACATTTATTAAGCACTTACTATGTGCCAGGCACTGTGCTAAGAGCTGGGGATACAAGTAATATTATATTGTGCATTAACATTGTACAATACTACTCTTATACATTATACAATTAATATTGGGGGGGGGGGACAAAGGGATATCTCTTTCCATGGAACTAAAACCAGGCAGAGCAGCAGATGCAAATAGAATGAATGAATAAAAGCCTGAGCAAAAATAAGAACATAGGAAGAGTTTCCTTCTTTTGATAGGGAAGTTAATAGATGTCTACATTCAAGATGTAGAAAAAGATCTGTGTGGAAGTATAAGAAAGGAGAATCCACAATGAAGTTAGTACCACAAACAAACGAAAAAAAAAATCTGCGTTTGCAATGCCCAAAAAGTCCCATGCCCAGGCTTTGTCTTAATTCTACATAGTCCAAGATATTCAAGTCAATCTATTGAAGGATTTATATACATGGGAACAAAGTTGCAGCCAGCTCTGTTAGAACATATCTTCTATCAACAGAGAACTGACATTAAACTTCTAACCATAGCTCAGAGACTCCCTCTCATGCCACATCTATTGATAGGAAAAAGTTTCCAGTAGACTCAGCCCCTGACTTACCTTTTTCAAAGACAGAACATGTGTCTTCCAAGGCATTATCCACAGGCTCACCCAACATCAGTGCTGGTGTATTATTTTCCACAGGAGAGGCCGGGCAGCCCGGGGATACCCTTTGTCTGACCAATGAAAGACACCGACAATTAACTGGGGCTCCCAGGCAAAGACTTCAAAAAAAGCTAACGGCATTTTCAGATTTTTAAATTTTAATTTACCCAAAGTATAAGTTGTCTGTGTTGAGGTCCCTTCCAGCTCTAAATTTATGACTCTGATCCAAAATAAATTTTCTAACAAAATTTCATTACTTGCCTAGAAAAATTGAGGAACTAACCACGGCATGGACTCCAGCAAAGGGCTCTGCAGCTAACATGGGCACATTCAGTACATATGTGGTGCTTTCTACCACATGATAAGCCCCTCTCCCACTAACTCCCACTGTCCCCAACAATGTAAGAAGGCCCAAATCTGAAATTACACTACTGCTTGTAGAAGATCCAATCATTTCCAATTCCTCCTCCACTCCATACAGCAAGAGCTGTCTAGAACAATGCTTCTTAAACTGGGAGTCGTGACCCCCAGTTTAAGCAGCCTTGAAGGGGTCTTGAGTGGAAAAAGTTTAAGAAGCACTGGTCTAAAATATAATGTAAGTCTTACATTCACATAGTCATGAGCCTCTCTATCCTTAGCTAGGCTATCAGTGAACAAAAGACTTCTATACTCAAAGAATGCTCAGCTTAGAAGGTCATACTTTTCATCTTGCTGACATAAAACACGAAAAGTCAGAATCGCCTCCCTATCCAGGGCAAGACATTCAGACAGGACTTTTGTGAAGGATTTATTTAGTAATCTGTACTTTACAAACCATCTTCATATCTGTCAAAAGAGTCAATGTAGGTAAAGCACCTTAAAAATTTAAAGCCTTCAAGTCACAAAGGTAGTAAATGGCAAAGCCAGGACTTCTGACTCCAAATCTAGCGCCCTTCCCACTACACTACAAGTTAAGCTAAGAAGGTATGATAGTGCTTTGAAATTTCATCAGCTTTATAAATGAACTGAGAGGCATAATGGGATAACATATATAGAGCTAGCCTCAAAGCAGGAAGACCTGGATTCAAGTCCTGCCTCTGACACATATTAGTTGGAGACTCTGAGCGAGTTGATTCACTTCTTAGCTCTCCCGGCAACTAAGACTATAAGTCATAGAAAAGGTACCAACCTACATTTGGTAGAGGGAGTTATAACCAATGAAATCGAATGTCCAGTCCCCATCCCTATAAGTGAGTTACACTATCTTTTTTTTGGTGAGGGACAGGAAAGAAATGAAGGAAAGGATTATTAAATGCTGAAATACGAACCTAGCTGTTTCAAAGGCTCTCATCTCTGAAATCTGCTTTCTGGCATTTGGAATCAACACATTCTTCTGCCACTTCTGACACACCTCCTCTGAGGGAGCGAGAATCTGTAATTTAAACATTCACGCACAGGGCCAGTACCCCTGCAAGACCCCAGCAATAGGAGTAGAAGACAGCAGGATATCCCCAAATGAAGTCTTTTTGGAATATATGTAGAATTCACAGGAGGATTCCCACACAGAGGGAAAATGGAAACATTCTGTGATTTGAAAGGAATGAAGTGTTGGCCCTCCGGCATCAGCCACGATAATAAATTGTGATTTAATAATCAGGATTGAAGACTCACGCCTTACAAACCACATCATTCCTCTCCTGACCCAGGGAGGCCTAGCTCCATATATCGGGACACTCTGTCCAACTCACAGTGCTTTGTTCTTCTGTAGGCACAAGGGTTCGAGCAAGCTTTAGATACTGTACAGCCATCTCCAGGATGGAGGCCATGTCCTCTCGACGACCCTCAAACTTCGGCAGCAGGATCCGAAGCCGCTCACAACTTACAGAGATTCGTTTCCTATTAATACCCAAACACCCCCACCCCCGTGCACAGATAAACAACTAATCCGTGTTTGAGTCTCACTCCTCTGAACAGAATAGTGGAGACACACAAATGCAAACACTGAGCCCCATGTACTTATAAGTCGATGGTTCCTTAGCTCTGTTGTCCTACACTGGAATGACGATGCTTTGGTTTGTGGATCTGAGTCAATTAACTCCATTCTGAGTCCAAAGAATGACTCTTTAACCTTAACAACAAACTAAACTCCCTAAACCTGTATTTTGGGGATTTGTTGGTCTAAACCTATGATTTCCTCACTATTAGCAGTTCCCTTTGAACAAATTCTCTCTACCAATGCAAATGAACAACTGTTTTACAACCCATAGTGATAGAGTTTCCTAGGGGCATGAAGACATTAAATTACTTGCTCAGTATATGTACTTGTTACATATACTAGACAATGTATGTCACCCTGCAGGACTTAATGGAGTTCTTCCTGACTCTGAAGATAGTTCACTATCTACTACACCATGAATCCTAGTCAGTAATTTCATCATTATGTAGGGGAACTTTGATGTCAATGAAAAGGGTAGGTTGTTCCCCCTTTTCCAAGATAGTCAAGGAATCCTCTAGGACACTCCTACTATATTGTGTCTAAACACCAGAATTTCCAAATATCCAGGCATATCCATTCAGACTCAGCAAATGGATACTTCAAAAAAAAATTTTTTTTCCAGAGCTTTAACCATCTGTCAATTCTAAAGCTGGCAGCTGGAAAAGGAGCTAAAAGTATCAACTGTCATCCTACAGTTTGAAAAATTGAGACAAAAAATAGAAAAGGAACTTGATCACAGTTGTATGGCATTAGTGGGTGAAGGTATGACCAGAATGAAGAATCCTGGAGAGCATCACCTCACTACCCCTTTTGGTTTTTTTTTGGGGGGGGGACAGTAGGGCAACTAATAAAATACCACCAAGTTATCTCCCTCATATTTAAGTTCACCATTGCAGGGATTTTTTTTAATTCCTGGGTTCTCCCAATCTTTGAGTTTTTCCTTTTGGCAAAGAAAATAAAAATTCTTTCTCCTATCTGTTTAAAACATGGTTGTAGAACAGAAGTCTTTCTATTTTTCCCCTCCCTAAGGGGCCTGACCAGGCTGAATGGCTGAACACATTTACACAAGGCTATTCTCTGACCCTCCCCCTGCATAAGGGGCAGGTCCTCACCTTCTTTCTCTCTCTGTGATAGCATTCTGCTTTCGGATCTGTACCTGGGCAACAGTGAAAGCCGCTGACATATCCCTGGACACTCCAGAATCCCCAACACTACCCTCAGAGGACCAGGCACTGGCCCTTGATTTGCTGAAAGAGGAACCAGAGAGAAGACTACGAGAAGGGAGAAATACAAACACCACATGCTTAAAATTATCTGTTTAGACACTGAGTTAGAGACAATGGAATCCCAAAAGGCTAATAGGCAAGACACCAAAATAGGGTAAGTTTGTAGTTGTGCTTTATGGTGTGAGGTGATGGCTCCCAAACTGACCTTCTCTCTCATGTTCTAAACTCCCCTATACCTCCTCTCACCGACCCCACCTTGTTCCCCATACCTACCTACCTCTGCCACCTCCACCACCCTTTCCCAAATGTACTGAAGGAGGCCAAAACGGTGGTGGGGTTTGGGGGTTGAGCGTCTGCGGGTGAGGACTAGAAGCCACTTGAGGTCAGTGGTAGGACATTGAGGCAAGACAGTAATATCTGGTGTAAAGGCAGAAGACTAAGCTATTGGGAAGGGCTGGCCTGAAAGTTATGGACTGGTGATGGGGGAGGGGCATCAATATTTGGGGTCAGGTCTGAGAGGCTTAGGCAGAGGAATGGGAGAGGGGCAAATTTCCGTGATTCTTCCTCCATCCTTAACCCAGGAGCTGAAGTCTTGACCTTAAGAAAGACCTTTCCCCACCACCTTTAGTTTCACACCTGTGTCCAATAGAAGCTGGATCCCTGGGTTCTCCCGGGCCTAAGGGTCCTTGGCTGGGGTCGGAGTCCCAGGCGTCCATGACTGCAGCGCTACAGCTGAGCTGTCCTAGTATCTCCTTCCCTTCTCCCACGCGGCTCCTTTCCTCCCCAAGACCGAAGCGAGAAACACAAAACACGTGCCCCTTCCCCTCGCGAGCAACACGTTCTCCTATCCCCACGCGCGCCCACGCGTTCCCCGCTCTCCACGCACGCAACACGCCCCCGCCCACTCCGGGGCTCGCTGTGGACACATGACCCACGGCCGGCGCCTTCCACTTGGTCCCAAGCAGCGTGTTCCCGAGTTTCTGTCTAGGAAAGTAGCTTCGGTACTGGGAGATGAAGCTTCAGGCTGCCCAGAGAGTTGAGGCTGGACGGGCGTCCTGGGTCCTGGAGCCTGGGGCAGAAGCTGTGGGGGTTCATGGGGAGGGCAGCGTCTTCCTTTTTGAGGAAAAAGCAAAAACCAAATGGATGCGGAGTGAAAGGCCAGAGAATGGGCAACCGAGACGTTGAGGAACTAGGTCCAGGGAACCTCGACAGAACTGCATTGAACACAGGCAGAGATTCCAGAGATTAATTTTTCTTTAAATCCTTTTTTGTTTGTTTTTGAATACTATTTTATTTTTCCCGTTACATGTAAAAATCTTTTAACATTCTTTTCATTTAATTTTGAGTTCCAAATTCTTTCCCTCCTCTCTTTGCCCCCCTCCCTGAGACAATAAGCAATTTGATATAGGTTATACATGTGTAATCATGCAAAGCATAGTCCCATATTAGTCATGTTGTGAAAGAAAACACATCTTTCTTTAAATTCTTAGTAAGCAATTAATATCCTTGTTCTATAGTTGTGCTAGTTGATCCAGAGGGGAGAACTGGAAATGATGAACAAGTTTACAGGAAAGTAGGTTTCTAAAACATCTTTATGCTAAGGAGGAACTTCCTGATAATTAGAGTGGATGGGGAAAACAACAACAACAACACTACTATTTACAGTATTCTGTGGGTACTTCCATCCTCCTATGCAGAGTTTTCCATTAATACTAGCAGTTTCTTGACTTGTCCTTTCTAATCTGTCTTGACTACAGTCATGTCCATGCCAGATAAGTGTAAAATTGGGGCAACATGCCTTTTCAAAAAGATTTCTGGCTTTTTCTCTGAAAGCTGCAGGATTGAGAAAGACAGCTGAGACCACCTACAAGGGTCACAAACTACATTCTATGTCTTATGGTCTGGCATTTTCAAGTCTATTTCCAAAACATCTCTTGCATCCATTCCCCTTTTCTTCACTCCCACAGCCACCACTCTAGTTCAGACTCTGAACAGATCTCCAGTGGCTATTGCGATTGCTTCCTAATTGGTCTTCCTGTTTCCAGTCACTCCCATCTCCAATACACCCTCCACACAGCTGCCAAAGTGATATTCCTAAAGCACAGGTTTGACCACGTCCTTTCTCCACTAGCTATGGGACTATATATTCTTCTTCAAAGCTCTTTACTATTTCTAGAATAAACTACAAATCTGGTGTTATAGCTCTCCATGCCCACTCTCACCTGTCTTTCCAGTCTTATTTCATATTAACCGCCCTTCATCTGTTTACCATTCTAGTCAAACCAGCTTACTAGATACTCCCTCGAATGTATTCATTCCTCCATTCTATTTCATAGCATGTGTAGATTCCTTAAAACATAGCCCAGGTGCTACTGTGTATATGAGGCCTTCCTGATCCCCTTAGATTGGGAGTACTTTCCCCTCTTGAAATAATCTTGTGGGTACTTATCCTATTGCCCTAATACCAGGTAAATCTCTTGTGTTCTACCTTTCTTAGTGGTTCAAACACTTAGCACAGTGCCAGACACACAGAAGGGATTTAATAAATGCTTGACTACTTAACATAAATGCTTGTCAGATTTCACTAAATGGCATAAAATATTTACCACCTAGTGACCAAACCTCTGATAGGACTATCTTAGGTTGGCTAGTCTTTCACCATATATATGTTTACCTAGAGTCTTGAGGTTTATAAATAGAATGGGCTGCTATATAAGTAAACAAGTTTCTACTTTTTTTTTTGTTAATTTATTTTAATCCAGCCTCTATTGGGCACAGGTATGAAACCAAAGTTGTAGGGAAAGGTTCTTTCTTAAGGTCAAGCTGGGTTAAGGATAGAGGAAGAATTAATTTATTTAATTTTAATTAAAATTTAATTTATTTTAATTAGTTTAATTAACAAAATAAAATAGCCATTTTTATATACACAGTAAAACAGAAAAAGGATTGCATATGAAATTGCAGATCTCTATTACAGACAACTTGGGAAGCAGAAACATTTATTAAGCACCTACTATGTGGCAGACACTGTGCTAAGTGCTTTATAAATATTATCTTATTTGATCTGCCTAACAACCCTGAGAAGGTGTTATTATTATCCCCATTTTATGAGGAAAATGAGATAGAGGTTAAGTGCTTGTTCAGGGTTACACATTTAATAAGTGTGTGAGGCTAGTCAGATCTTCCTTAACTCCAGGACCATTGAATGCTCTATCTACTTTGCCACCTAGCTTTATGATCTAGGTCAGTCACTTAACCTCTATTTGCCTCAGTTTCCTCAACTGTAAAATGGGGAGAATAGTAGCACTTACCTCCTAGGATTGTTGTAAGGATCAAATGGGATATTTGTTAAGTGCTTAGCACAGTGCCTGGCACATAATAGGCACCATATAAATATTAGCTATTAAAACTACTGCTACAATTGGCTTTTCTTTTTAAATCTATAATACATCCAACCTGTGGCTTTCAAAACTGTCCTGCTTTATTTGTGCTTTTTTCTGTTCTTGTCTGCATTTTTTAAACATACCTCAATAACCCTCTTTCCTTTTTTCTTCCCTCTCTTTTTCTTTCTTTCTCTTCTTTTTTCTTTTCTTTTTTTCCCTATCCTATCCCTATTCCTCCTTGAACCTCCCTCTTTACATCCCCTATTGGGAAAACAAAAAAGAAAAGAAAAGAAAGCCCATGTAGTAACAATGCATAATCAAGCAACAGGTTTCTCATTTTTGAGTGTTCAAGCATAGAAGGGCTCACAACATGTTATAGATACAGTAAATGGAATTCATAGGATCATATGATTCAGAAGTGGAAGACAGCTCAGAAAGCCTATACTTGGTGGCAAACTGTACTAGGGAACATCTGAGGTCCCTTCTAATTCCCCAATCCAGTGATTCTTTTGTCCATCCCTTTGGGTATCACTGTTTTGAGAAGCTTGCAAACCAAGTGTTCATGGAAATGCCACTGAGTTTCCCCAGGTGTTATGAACCCTTTCTCAGAGGTAGAGTTCTCCCCCTGACTTTCAGTGTCCAAGCCCACAGCTGGCATGCAATTCTCTCTCACCCAGTCCCCCTTGTCTTGAACAAACACCAGTTATGAAATGGCTGCTCAGGGTCAGGGCCCATCTGGGGTATAGGAAAAGGCCCTAAAATAGGAAGTCCATAGGCCAAGGTGATAGCCCTGGGTCTTCCCTTGATTATTGGGTGCTAGTTACTGACCTAGTTACTATACTTCTCTGTAAAGTGAAGGAGTTCGATTGATGGGTTCCCTTTCATTTCTGGATCTATGATAGAATCTATGATTCTATGAATTTGAAATTAAGAAGTATCCTTCTGAGTGGAAAGCTCATTCTCTACCATCCCCTAGTTCTCCAGTGCTCTTACTCCAAAGGATTTGGCCTGGCCAAGTCCTACTTCACCTCTCACAAGAGGAGATTTGTAACATCCCGTGTGACAGAAGCTCCTTAGTCATTAACTTAATTCTTGATTTCCTATTCTGATGTTATTATGATCCCATACTGGGTATTTTGCCCCAGACCTGGAAAACTGTGAGTGATGATGTGGTATAACACTGGATTTAGAGTCAGGAGAAGCTTACTAGCTCTGTGACCATGGATGAAGCACTTTGACCTCTCTCTAACCCACAGTTTCCTCATCTGCAAAATGGGGATACTAACTTACTTCACAAAGCTACTGTATACAAAGCACTTTGAGAAACTTCACACCCTATGTAAATGTGAGCTAAAAGCTGATAATCTTGCATTTGTCACCAGCAACCAATTATACCAAAGTAGCATCACCCTTCATATCCACTCAATAGTTTGAAAGATTATAGCACCTCAAAAATAATAAAATTATCCCTACAACCTCATCACAGAATGTCAGAGATCTTTTTCCTGGAGGTGGAATTGATCATATTCCCTGCAGGAGACTCCACTCCTTTCCCAGCGTAAGCTACAGGGCTTTGAGATGTGAACACAGCTACCCTGACAGGAAAAAAAATATTATGTCTGTACTATTCAGGGGTAAGCCAAGCCGAAGAGATCCAGTGGATGACTAGCCTAAGGCTATACAGCAAGGCAGCCACAGAACAGAGAAGACAATTTCGACATCCTATCCCTTGACCCATTTGCCAGACAATTTTGCCAGGTTGAAGAGGGCCGTGACTCAGTTTTATTGGTGTGATTTACGCATAGCTTTCAGCACATATCCTGCCTTCCAATTTTACCAGATGGTATGAAGTGGAAAGTACAGAGTCCTCTTTGGGAAAATGCTGTTCAATTCAGGTAGCAGTTGGGATCACAGAATTTAGAGTGAGAGGAAACCCGAGATTTTATCCAGGGCAAATCTGACTCATTTGACAGAGAAAGAAAGTGAAAGATCAGAGAGGTCAACTGGCTTGTCTAGTGTCTCACAAATGGTAAGTAAAAAAGCTAGAATTCACACCTAGTTCTTCTGACTCTACATATAGTGTTCTTTCCATTACAACACATTATCTCTGTGCTGAAGAATCTGGGACCATAGATTTAGAGCTGGAGGGGATGTCAGAATGATCTAGTCCAACTCCCTCATTTTGAAGATAAGGAAACTGAGGGCCAAAGATGTAGCCAAGCCAGGGTTCAAACCAAGGTCTATTCTACACATTTCCCCCTACCCATTTCTTGAATCTGCTGGATATCCAGCACTGAGCTGTCTTTAGGAGTGGGAGAAGAAAATAATGGTCTCAGCTCTGGTGGAACTTGCCTTTTGGGGGAGACAAATTTTATACCCATCTAATAATGAGAAAACAAAACAAAATCATGTTTAAGCATGATGTGCTGGACAACATAAGAAGGACTCTGTGTGAAAAGACAGTGATTCCGT